ATGCCTGGTGATATAGACAAGTCTATTGAAGATAGCAAGAAACAACACAGTAGCCATTGTAGATCACCTTGTACTGTGGTTTTACATGACTTTTTTGTTGCATGTTTTTATAGGAATTTGTTTTGTTTCATCTTGTTTTGTTTTGTTTTTCCCTTTAATACAGAAAGGATAAAAATACATGTAGAGACTCATGCATGCATAGAACCTATAAACATTTTATGAGAACTGATCATACAACACATGATGAAATGAATAACTACTTTAAAGGAAAAGAGACACTACAGTACCCAGTGCTGATTCTTTAGCATCATGATGTGACATCAAGTAATACTATTATTCTTTGTTCAGAGTGATTTTAGCCTGTTTTGTTTTGTTTAATTTCAACACACATGAAGGTATGGACAGCTATTTTGAAGAAAATGAGAGACACTATGACAGTCATTGTTGACTTCCCTATTTCTGATTTTGAAGACCTAAAATGCCTTTCTCATCTTGTTCAGATCAGTTCTATACTATGTTGTTTCATATGAATTCTCTGTGAAGATATGGACAACTATTTGGAAGAAAACTAGATACAATATGATAGTGAAGATCTCTGATTGTCTTGCTTTGAAATTTATGTCTCTTTCTTTGCTTTTTTGTGTTCTGTTTAATTTTACTCTCTTTAAAATAAAAAAATAGTTGCTCAGAAAATGTTAAAATTAAATGGTAAACATCTTAGGCTGAGGCAAATTAAAGATTTAGGAAAGAAAATTATTCCTAATTTATATACTTATTTGCTAGGCAACAGTTTCAGATTTAACAGGTATACCTAAAGTGAAAACCCAAACCAGTAAAACATTTGATAATTTTCATTTTTCCTATGTGTTCCAGCAAGGATCAGATTTCTGATTTTCATTTTGCTGATTCTTCCAGATTGTGAAGGTAGCTGCCTGTGCAGGTTCCATTCTTTTTTTTTTTTTTTTGTCTTGTTCCTAATTTTTATATTTATTTTATTTTATTTTTTATTTAAAGAGAAAAAAGAAAGGACATAAAAAACAAAGCAGTAAAAGGGTATAAGTAATATAGAATTTGAAGAAAAAAATATACAGTAAGAAATCACTAGTTAATAGGTTACATATTGTCTTCTTAGAAACAGTTGTCCAAATTATAAAATTAAAGCATATAAAGTGGACATTTACACAGTGAGATTGCAGACAGTTCCATTCAATGATCCAACAAAATCTCAGTAATGTGGTTTTCCATCCTATACACTCAAACATACATGCGGTTATATCCCTTAGTCCACCTTCCTTTCCTCTCTTTTTTACAATAACAATTACACTTTTTGGGTTTTATTACTCTCACAGTTCTTATTACTTTTTTTTTTGATTCTTTTTTTCTCACTCTAGGGAGCCCGGCTGGTAGTCAGGGACATGCCACAGAAAAATAAGTGACTGCAACAACCTTGCTCAAATGCACACAGAAGCACATGTGCTCAGGAAAGAGAAAGATTGAGATGCTGCAGTGAGGGGTTAGGCTTTGAGGTACAGCATCACAGTGAGTCCACAGCACTAGGATCAACAGCCTTTGTGAAGCAAGTAAAGGAGTTATCAGGATTCTTGGGTGATTTACGTAAAAGACAGACCTTCATGCTGGTTTTGAGTGATGTTGATCTATGTTTTAGAGGCTAATTTTGGTGTCTCCTGTTGGAGGAAGGAACTGGTTTTGGCTGTAAAGAGCTAAGTTGCTCCATGGAACAGCCTGAGATCAAGAGGAGAGAAGATGAATAGCTCAGAGTTGGATACACTTCGAAATCTAGACCTGGTATCTTGCGGAAGTTAAAAGTTTCCTGATTGAAAAGTTTTTTAGCTTTCTAATTATATAAAAACTTTCAAAAGTTCTATAATTTAATTGGGCAAAAGAAAAAATAACTAAAATTTTTCCACTCTCTTCAAATTGATTGCTTAGGGACTCCCTGAATGTGAGATAATGGAGAAGTAGTATCTCAGGGACAAAGTCCCTTTGGGAAAGAGAATGCGGAGAAATGGATAGAGAGCTAGAGACCCTCAACTCTACACAACACAGTTATACTTGGATTCTCACTGAACTCTTATGAGGACACATACTTTACACCATGATTAGGGACAGCAGCGTCTTGCAAGGCCCAATACCTGCCAAATGCGTCTTGACCTCAACTAAGCCCAAAGAAAATGAGAACTGGTGACAAAGCTCTTCTATATTGGCGAGTCCCTTCTTAAGGCTTCTCCTCTGAGAAGGAGTGAGTAGGAGGGCTCAGGATGAGAAACTCAGGGCCTGTATGCCTTTTGAAATCAGGATACTAGGGCTAGGAGAGGGCTAAGGGGACAGCAGAGTGGACTGGCTCAGCCCTGTGTCCCTCCAGCACAGCACTGGGACCCTTCAGTAGTGCACTGTCCAACATTGGACACATGCAACTGTATAACATTAGTGGGCCCCCTCTTCTTTTTTCTTCTCCTACTCCTCCTCCTTCTTCTTGCATGATATTGTTATGGCTTGTGTTGGGATGTCCCACCACAGCCTCATGCAATCGTAAGTGGGGCTTTTGCCAAATGGATAAATCTAGGGTGTGTGATTCGTTCATGGTGCAAAGTTAGGATTAAAAGTGGTAGAATTAAGGATGCATGATTTCTAAATCTATCCATTCATTTAGTTGATACTGATCTAATGTTGGTAGCTTAGATACAGCATAAGGAACAGAAAGTTGTTCCTTGTTTTGCCCCTGTCCTCCTTGCTTTGCTATCTTCTGCCTGCAGTGAACTATTTCTCTTCTGTGTGTCTGCCATCCCACTTGCCTTGAAGCCAGCCATTTATGGACTGAAACTTCTACAAACTGTGAGCTAAATAAATTTCTCCTCCTTTAACTGTAGATGTCAAATATTTTGTATTAGCAACTAAGGCAGGTGAAAATCCATAATTTTAAAATACACAGGTTTCTGGTATGTAATTAATACATTCATTGTGGGGAGTTATTCCATATACATGTTACATCTTGATCCTCTTTACTTCTCCTTACTTCCTTCTCCTCTTATCCCTATCATCTCCTGGTTTCCTTCCTATCTCTACCCAGTCTATCTCCTTATTTTGTAAGTTTTATTTTTTATTGCACCCTTTAAATCCTGTATATTTTGAGTTTCTCATATAAAAGAAACCATGTCACACTTAACCAACTGCATCTGACTTATTTCACTTATGTGGATTCAAGCTGCATCCATCTTCCCACAAATGACTCAAATAGTGAACATTCTGCTTTCTTATTTTTGTTTATTTGGTGATAGTTACCTCTAGATTGTGGGAAACTAGAACACCAAGCTCTCTTACCAATTTCATCCTTTAACTCTGATTAACTTTCAGTAAGATACCCATAGAGAAGTAAAAAGAGTTGCATTGTAAAGGGAAGGGAAAAAAGAAAGTGGTAAACTGAGATAAAGAAAAACAAAGGAGAATAGAGGAGAGGTCTACTGGTGCACCTGGCTGTGACACTGAGTCTCATTCAGTCATTGTCATACATCTGTTCATTCATGACCTGCCAAAAATTTTCAGCACTATTTCTTTGGTCCAAGAAAGAAATGTATATTTAAATATTTATATATAAAATTAAAATATATAAGTATATATTCACATAAATTTATATACAAGTGCATATATTTGTGTACAAAACATACATCTATTAGACATATGACTATATATGTATATAGTTTTAGAATACAAGTATAAAGAAGACAGACTTTCTGTCATAGAATTCACCTAAAAATGTCCCAGGTGAAACATAAATAAATTAAATGTCATAACCCTCTTCCTTGCTTTATTTTATCCCTATGCAATGATTAATATACTCATCTATTATGTATTATATTTACTTTTCCTATGTGTTTACTAGCCTTAGTTAACTTTCACAGTGCAAGGATTTTTTTTTATTCAGCTAATGACTACATTTGTTTAGCATTAAATAAAGGAATGAGATCAACCGTTAGTCATATGTTACCAGGTAATAACAAGTGCTGTGTGGAGAACTGAAGTCCAGGAATGAGCATGCTTTCTTGCTCTGGTAGGGTGCCTGGGAAGAGTTCTTTGGAGAGAAGATATCTGAGTGATGGGGTCAGGTGAATGTGGGATGCAGGCATCTAACCGTCACTGCCTCAGGTTCAATCCTTTATTATTCCAGATACTGTCTTCCCTTCCTCCTAGCACTTCAAGGGGAACTTGAGTTAGAGAAGAAGATAGCTGCTTTTGAAAATTATCCCACAACCCCATATTATTATGTTGAATTTTTGCTGCTCTATAATATGGAGCTTTTAAGATCTTAGAACAGTGGGCCAGGGATATATCTCAGTGACATAAGTGCCTGCATGGAAAGTGCAAAATCTTGAGTTTGATTCCCAATGCCATAAAATAATAAAAATAATAATAATAATTACTATTATTATTTCTGGGAGCAGCAAGATGCTGGCCTCTGAGGCCCAGCATTTTTACTGATGCCCTATTGGGAATCTATGCACTATCACGATATTAAGCAGTGGAAGTCAAAGTTCCACACTGTGCACAACATCTAGAGTTCTTTAATGTTTCCTGTGTACATTATTTTAGGAGGAAGTAGAGCAAATCAAGACCAGACGGTCCTGATTGTCAGAACCTCAAAGCTGACCTATATGGAAAGTATCACCCTTTTCCCCTAAGAGAAGACACATTCAGTGGGGAAGATGATAAGGAACCTTTCCCTCACTCTGACAGAAAACAAGGTGTCTTTACCCATTCAGAGGAACTAGCTCCACTTGAACTGGAAGTCTCTTTTACTGATCAAGATGATAATACTTAGCAAGGCTAAGTACAGAACACAAAGCGCAGAGCATGCCAGCATACAACCAGGTTAGGAATAGTTCCTTATCCTAATCTTCTTTCTGTCTTAAGGTCAGGACCATGTGGAATGAAGCTAACTTGCTTTGGACCTTCGGATTTCAAGAGGAGCTGAAGTGAGCCAACTGATGGACAATCACTCTAGTGCCACTGAATTCTGCCTGGTGGGCTTCCCTGGGACTCAAGAACTGCGTCGTGTTCTTTTTGGTATATTCTTTCTCTTTTATTCAGTGACATTACTGGGAAACACAGTCATCATCATGATTGTCTGTGTTGATAAACGTCTGCAGTCTCCCATGTATTTCTTCCTTGGTCACCTCTCTCTTCTAGAGACCCTGACCACATCCGTAATTGTGCCTGTGATGCTTTGGGGTCTGCTGCTCCCTGGAATCCAAACAATCTCTCTGAATGGGTGTGTTGCCCAACTCTTCCTGTACCTTGCTCTGGGGACCACTGAGTTGGCCTTGCTTGCAGTGATGGCTGTGGACCGTTATGTGGCTGTGTGTAACCCTCTGAGGTACAACATCATTATGAACAACTGCACCTGCATTTGGGTGGTCATCATGTCATGGGCATTTGGATGCCTTTCTAAAATCTGGCCAGTCTATGCCACCTTTCAGTTTACCTTCTGCAAGTCAAATCTGTTAAACCATTTTTACTGTGACAGAGGACAATTACTCAGAGTGTCATGTGATGAGACTTTCTTCACAGAGTTTGTTCTTTTTCTGATGGCTGTTTTTATCATCATTGGTTCTTTGATCCCTGTGATTATTTCCTACACCTACATCACTTCCACCATCCTCAAGATCCCTTCAATCTCTAGCCAGAGGAAAGCCTTCTCCACTTGTGCCTCCCACTTCACATTTGTTGTGATTGTCTATGGCAGCTGCTTGTTTCTTTATGTAAAACCCAGGCAAACACAGGCAGCTGAATACAACAGGGTAGCGTCACTGCTGGTTTCAGTGGTGACCCCTTTCCTGAACCCTTTCATCTTTACTCTCAGGAATGACAAAGTCAAAGAAGCCCTCCGTGATGGAGTGAAACACTGCTGTCAGTTCCTCAAAGATTAGTGTTTCTCTAAAGCAGCTTTTAATGGTGTGTCCTCGGTCCTCACGAGGGGTTATTGAGTGCTCTAAAACTCCTAACTCTTCCCTTTCATTATCATTGTTACCATTACCAGATTGTGTGTACAAATCTAATTGTGACATGGAGGTAGATAAAATAGTGAAAGATGGGCTGCGTACTGTGCAAACTAGTATTTCATGGACATCGTCTATGCTTCCTGCTACTGCTGAATTCATGCATGCATGTTCTTGGGATATGGAAAGAACTAGAGAAAGGGTACATATTTTAGGAGTTGTTTTACCTCAAGGACCTATAAGCCATCTCTAAAAAGTGTATTTTTTCGTGAGGAGAGGCCTTAAGGAAAAAGAAAACATTAAAGGTATCATCAACAATATAGAAGTAGAGACACTTACTTGGTTCTTTACCAACTGTTAGATTCTTTCTCTACATTTTTGTGTAATTTCTTGACAGGATGGATATATGCATTTTAACAATCCTGAGGATCTATTTTTTTTTGTGGACCATATAATTTTTTTTGTGGCCCCATTGTTATTGCAAAGTAAACGTAGTAGTTTTTACATTCGCCACAGAAAATCTCTGTAGTGTTTTTGCAGGGTTTGGAGTGAATTTATTTTGACAAATCTTGATAGTATTAAGAGGATGGAAATGTTTTTGGGTAAGATAAAGGGCAAATTCCTTTTGATAAATCCGACAGTCTCATTAGCCTTCCATGTATCTTGTTTCTGGACATAATACAAGAAAGGAAGGATTACTTTTTTCATTGGTAGATCCCTAACAATTTACAGGCTTAGTTTGTGGGAATGTAACTGTGGAAATTTCAAGTAATATTGGAGGAAGTGTTTAGAAGCAAGTTTATATAAATGATGACAATAAGTAGATCCTGACAACCTGAAGTAGGGGAAAAAATTGAACTGCCCAACAGTAGGTGACAGGGCTGCTTATGGTTTGTTGTCTTATGAGGATAGGCAAAATTATGAGACATGATTAGTTTCATTATGTAAATGCTCAGATAAGACAGTGTTCCTTTACTCCCAGCCATCTTATGATCTGGAAGCTAACCAGTAGGTTTTGGTCAGACTATGTCAATTAGAGAAAGGGGAGACTCAAGCTTACAATTTTCTAATTCTAGTTCAGGAGGAACTGCTCTGATAGGAAGGGTTGCCATTCTTTCCAGTTCATTAACCCAGGTTGGGAGAGCCTTAAACAGCAGAGTAAATAGGGATGCAGAGATGTTAAGTGGCTTGCTCCATTTACTTAGCCTTCAACTATACTACGCCCATTTGCTAGAAATTCTGAAGTTTGAAGTGTTGACAAGTGCTGGAGAATAAAAATTTTTATTCATTTCTGGTTAAGTAAAATTACTGCCATGCAAATAACAAAGTAGAAGAATATCTAGTAAGCACAAACTGTATAAAACCAATGGTCAGTTTTGCGGTTTGTTAACTTGTTCCTCAGCCATGTTGAATGTACTGATAAGTCCACAATAGGAACTCCACAGACCTTGTATCAGGCTGCCGTACTACATTTTCACTGGATGTTTTTCTTCTGTCTAGTTTTTATCTTCCTTCTTAACTTTCTCTCACTTATGAAAGTTTCCCACCTTTCCATGACATCATTCAACATATTAGTAAAATTATTTTATATTAAGTGAATATTTATTGGACAGCATTTTAAATTTTTATTGATTTTTTCTCTGTTTTTAATCCACACTTTAGAGTTTAACTTGTAAGAATTGACTTGATATTTATATGAGCAATATAAAGATATCAGCACATTAGTGGTGCTGAACCCCCTCTTCTTTTGGGCCATTATTAGGAGTTATTTTATTTAATTAGTTACTAACTAAAAATGCATTGTTATAATTATTATTTATAACTTTTAAAGAAGCTGTAAAAGATATGAGAGCAAGTATGTATTTCTAATTCTGCCATATTAACCCTAGCAACATTTTTATCTGGTATATTACCCTTAGCTACATCTCTTCATTTGTCCCTTAGATTTAAGTTGCATTTTGGTGTCATTTCCTAACTCTAAAATAACATTGCTACATATCCTTTACGTTACTGTTATGCACACAATATTATATATACTTTCCACTCAACCATATGATGATATACTTATTATTATGTATAGTTTCTTATGTCAGAAGAGGAAATATGCATTTATACTTTTTGCTATAATTAATTACTTTTATGAGTGTTGTTTTATATATGTGCATTCTTTTGGCTGCTGGTAGGCTCTTGTTTTCATTATGAAGAACTTCCTTTAGGATTTTTTGTAAATTTTAGCTGCTAGCAACAAATCTACCCTTTGAAATTTATCTGGGAATGTTTTCATTTTACTGTGAGGATGGAGAAATAATATTACTGAATATAACATACTTAGTAAATTTAGACCAATCACGGTGGTCTCAGTTGTTACCAAAGGAAGTCAGCTGCTAATGTCCTTAAGGGGCCTTTTTATCTCAAAGACACTTTTCTCTTGATAAAAGACTTTTTCTCTTTGTCTTTCAGCAATTTTACTATATTGTGTCTGCTGTACATATTTTTGCATTTATTTTATTGGCTTTTGTGGATGTGTAGAGTAATGTTTTTATTATATATGGAAACTTTTCATAATTTCTTCCAATATTCTGAGTGCTTCTCTGTATCTTTCCCATTCTTCTGATCATTCCATTATACGAATTTTGGTACTATAAGTAGTGTCTTATGTTTCTCTGAGACATCTTCACTTTCTTTTATTCCTTTTTTACTCTGTCCTTTAGATTGTGTAATCCCTGCTAATCTGTCTTCAAGTTTACTTGTTCTTTCTCCTGTCAGTTTAATTTCAATGATGACCTCTAGCAAATTTTTTATTTTATCTACTATTCACTTAGATAATACAATTTCTACTTGCTCCTTTTATAGTTTAGATGCACTTATTGACTCTCATTGTGCTTCTAAGTTTCAGTAGGTTTTCTTACATAAATGATTTCTTCACCTAGTGTATGCTCTTAGTATGATTTTTTAGGGACTCCACACTTCATTAAATTATGATTTAAAAAGTTATTCTTGTTTAGCCAATCATAGTATTTTAAAGGTCACTCACTGAGAGATTCCATCATGGCTGATTTGGTGGTCCAACAAGGGAAAGAAACTCTGAGAGGCACCACAGGAATGCAGGTTCACTGGGGCATGGGCAATAGAGAAAGCCAGATGTAAGAAGTCAAATGGAAAGAGAAACATACCAGACCCTAATCCCATATAAGGGTTTCTTAAAGGGATGCTGAAGTGTGCCTGGACCATACTATCCTTTACATACCTGTTCTGTCATATCATGGGAGAGGGTGTGGCATCTCAAAGAAGGGATTTGTAAATTCAGAAGTGTCCAGTCACCTAGAACAGACTCCCAACCTCTGCACTAGGAAGAGAGACAGAACAAGTGATCTGCAAACCAGGGAACCACAGAAATGAAAGCCACCGTGCACTGTACAAGAAAGCACAACTGGGCCTTTGGAAAAGTTGAAAATAAGTATGGAATCTGGATTAGGGACAGATCTTAGTGTTGAGAGCCCTTCAGGCCATAGCCGCCACTAGTAGGCAACCGCATGTGTGAATGGAGAGATCCTGGGGAGACAAGAGACCAGACTGACCCAGGAACATCTTCTTCCAGATACTATAGATGTCATGGCACATGGAACATCTTGCTCTCTGCTCACAGCCCACCATGAGGCACTCACACAGGAGCCTCCACCACCGCTTGCCAACGCTTGCAGAATGGTCATACACTGAGGCTCCACTGAGGCTGCAGTTTAGAGAGTGACACTGGGGAGAGTGAAGAAGCCCGGGGTGACAGGTGATGAGTGGAGCCCTGACCAGAAGGTTTTCTACAGTGTACTTGGCCAAATGCTTGTGGAGTGAGAAGGCTTATCAAGGTGGCTTCAGGATTTGCTATGCAAGGGAGTGGGGATCAAGAGGGCCAGGGTGGCATTTGACAAAGAACTGGGTGCTGGCTAGACACACTGTATACTCTGTTCCCTAAATTCCCCAACTAGGGTGAGATTTTAGGATAGAGGTAAACATTGACACTTAGCCATGGCAAAGTGGGGCTTGCTATACAGAGGGAGGCTCAGGAGTGTCTTATCAACATGCCTCCTTATTCATAGGAAAACATTGAACAAATCGTGGGTTGAGAGGGGAGCACGCAGCGGACTGAGGAGGAGGAAAAAAGACAGTGATGTTCCCAGGAAGGCATAGGAGTGGGAAAGAGCCACACCCAGAAAGACATCTAAGACTCCCAGGATAGGTCAAAGCTTCCCTGCAAGTGAGATGGGGGACCTCGGACTGCACTATGAAGAGGAATTTGAGAGGGCTTTCATTTTGTGATTTTGCTCCTATGTGGCTTTTTGTGTTTTGTTCTTAATCTTTCCCTCTGTTGATTTTTTTCTATTCTTCTATCCCTTTATGTTCTTTTCTCCATCTATCTAGGATATACACTCACATCTCATTCTACCTATTAGTAGCAGTAACCTACGGTCTATGGGAGGCCTTGATAAAAAGGTGATATTGTTAAACATTTAATTTTTGATTTTACATAATAATTATATTCATTATGGAGTTTTTTGAAAGAAAATATTTTTATTTTTATTTTAAAAGCAAGACAGAAAAAAGGGTATGAACAATACAGAATTTAAAAATATAGTGGGAAATTAACACTAGTTAATATATTGTATATTATTATCTTAGAAGTAGTTGTTCAGGCTACAAGATTTAAGCATGAAAAAATGATCAAACAAACAATGAAGCACAAGCTAACTGTTCTTTTTGATGAATTAACAGATTAGTTGTCTTATCTTGTGAGTGTATATATATATATAAATATATATATATATATATAATAAATACACATGTATATGTATAGCTATATACATATAATCTTTTCCCTTCTTCCTTTTCTCCTTTTCCTTATCCCAGTTATTCTTTCCTTTTGAGCACTTTCCCTTTCA